CTTCAAGTTGTCTACTAATCAATCTAATGTAACCTTTCAAAACTAGTTGTTTCACATGCTTCAATGACAATTTCGCAATTTGTATGAACAAAATATCTCGTCCAGCTCTTGTATGGTTTTCCCATGTGGGGTTATCTTTTTTTTTTTATTTTTTTTATTTTTATTTTTAATAGCCTGTCCTTCCATGAAGAAACTGTTGTATTTGACCTAAAGAAATGCATGTGATGGGAGGGTAGGCCAGGACTATTGAGACGTGCTAAAAAGGAATGCATACAGGAGGGAAGTCTAAGTTTCTTCTTTGGCATTTTACATTATACAAGTAATTCTTGTACTTGAAGTGTTGAAGAATGTCAGTGGTTGACCTTACTGTTTTGATAGATATAAATCAGGGAGAAATTATCTACTTAAGTATCAACCTTTTAAAGCTTAAACATTTTGACATGTTTGTATCCACTTTTTAGCCACTACTTTGCTTTAAAAATACAATTAAGCAGAATTCATCCCAGTTGTTCCTCTTCAAAGTAGGATGTTATTGTGCTGACATCAAGTATTATTTTCAAGTCCCACTCTTACTTTTTCTTCCTCTTTTAAAGCGTCAAGAGGCTCATAAACAGAAATTGTGTACTGAGTGAGAGCACTCGGGAGTATTCCAAATATTATTAGTAAAATGCCTTTGCTGAAAGGACTTTTCAGTGCCTATTCTTTGTGAACCAAATAGTTGCATCCTGCTCTGAGAAATGGTTCTGTGGGTTTGGAGTGATCTCTGTGTCCCTTTCACACAGCTGATTAGGTTCTTTACACCAAATTCTAACCTGAACTGAAGCATTGCTACGTAAAAGCAGTTAACTTTTCTGTGCAAGCAGTTTACATGCTTTGATTTCCAGAGAGGTGGAACAGCTAGAGAAGGTTCAGTCTTCCAGAATGGGATGTGAAATCTATCTGAGCAGGGTAATAATAGGCATAATACCTGATTTATTTTTAATTTGTTTATAGTAATGCAGTGGGCACTGCTAATGAAATGTGGAATTTGGTATGATATGATATGTAACAAAGGGGATTTGATATGATGTGATATTGATTTGATATGTCAGATCTAGATTGGGTGCATTTCATATCTTGCAACTTGAAAGTGAAGCTATGCAACCCAAGCTATTGATATTTATCAGCTGCACTAAGATTCATGTCTGAAGGAAAAGCAAGAACATGCAGAAAACAAATCAAACTATAACAAAGTAGTGGCTCAGTGTCTTTAAAGAAAGTAAACCAATCTTATTTAGGTGTTAGTCAATATTTCTGTATAGATAGTGAAGGAATTAGAAACGTGTGCAGTTGCAGAGCAACGTTCTTACTGGGATTAGAGATGTGATGGGTTAGCACGTGTGATTTCCTGGACTGGGAGAAGCTCAGAGACATTGCCAGTGTATTAATGAGTTTGAAAGGGAAATGCAGTGCTTAGCTGAGGATGAAACTGGTAAGAGATATAAAGAGCAACAAGGAGGTCTTAATTTGAGTATGGTAGCGGTAAAAGGAAGATCAGTGTTTTGGTGTTCTGTGGGGTTTGGAAACCAAATGACAAAATGGATGCCCATGGTACCCTTATGCTGCTATCTGTACTGATGAGGCTGGTTCCTCAAGCAGTGGTAGAGACTCAGATGCAGCTTGGGGAAATTTAGTGTTTCTCTGTTAGTCACTTGTGACACCATGTCTGGAATTCTGCATCTAGTTTTGGGCTTCCTAGAATGAAAAGAATGTTGGTATAGTGGAGTGAGTACACCAGTATGACAGGATGGAGTGCGTGGCCTTTGAGAACAGCTGAGAGCCAATTTTACTAAATCTTAGAAAGCTAAAAGGGGACCCTTCTGCTGTCATCTCTCCTTCACCCCTTGACTACGAGGTGTAGCCTATTCTCAGAATTGCACAGCGAATTGTAAATTGCTTCAAAAATTCCTGGACATGCACTGGTAACACTAAATTTATGGGAACAACCTGTGTCCTTCTCTACTTTTATTTCTTCAGGGGATTTCAAACTTAAGGTATAGTTTATCAGAAGAAACTTCAAATCGTAGGAGCTTTGATTGCTTGTCATATTAAAAATAGCAACTGTGCAAAATGCAGATAGGAGAAGTGTAGTGCGGAACTATGATCTGAATAAGGTAAAGTTTGCCTTCAGTGTTGTGTGCTCTAGGCTGTATGTAAAATACTGTAGTGTACAAATAGTCTTTACATTTCTCAGAACTTACATTTGACAAATTGACATTTTTTGTTTTGCTTTCTTAAACTGTCCTTAAGTATCAGATGTTTTAAATGAAAACCTTTTCAGTCAGGATTTGTGAAGTGGTGAACTTCTTTGTCATGTCACAGAAATTGTATGCTGGACTTTCAGATGCATGTCAAACCGTCAGTTGCTTGTTAGTACAGCTGAACAGCTATAAATTTTGCCATGTGAGCATTGAATAGGCACATAAAAGCTTTCTTTTAGTTGGCCATTTGTAGCTAATGCAGTTTTATTATTATCTTGTAGGTATATTGTTGAATAACACTGTTTGCTTTGGGCTGGGAATCGGGTGCCTTTAATACTTATTTGAAAGATACTGAGTGCCACTGCTTTGTCGAGTGTTTCCATAGTAATGATGCTCCAGGGAAATATTTCACTTTTTCATTCTTTATCTTCTAAGAGACCAACATTTTCGATAGGGTAAGTCAAAGCTGTGTGCAGAGGGCCTCGTCATTGTGAGGGCAAATTGAAGGGGGAGGAGCGCAGTTTAGGCAAAACAGAACACTTGAGAAGGTATAAAGGTGTTCTTAAAAGAAATACAGATTAAAGCATGACACTTTAAATTACTTGATGCAGTCTGGTCTAAAGATGAGATGTCCACCAAAATTATCAGGAGAAACTCTCTGTGGTGGGCAGAGGAAGGGAATTGTTACTGCAAACCTGAGTCATGAGTCTGGCAACTGTTCTGAAAACCTGAAAACTAAGCAGGCTGATAACCAGGCTGCATACATGGATTGTCTCATCTTCATCTGGAAGCTGAGATCTTTCCGTTCTGCAGTACTGTTTAAACAATTAAACATGAGTGGGTACAGTTTAGAACACATAAATGTCCAGATCACCATGGATATAATTACCAGAACATCAGATTGAAATTGTAAATGGAAAAATAACAAATCCCTTGATACCTCTGCTATTTGGTTGGTCTCTGAAGCTCTCTTGGTGAAATTTAGAAATTTTAGATTTAAAAATCAGCAGCAAGCTCAAGTTTTCATGGAAATTTTTTTCTAGACTTTTGTCTTTTCAGTTGATAAGCCATTACAGCACAGAACTGATCTTTGTAGCTTACTGTACATTGGCACTGTACATAGGGCACATATAGTAGTCCAACAGGCACAGTACTGAGACTTGCTGTACTTAAATACAAGCTAATGTTGATGCATTTATACTTGCTGAAGGAAGGTTTTTCTCTGGTATATTAACACCAAGTTGTGCTTATCTCGGCCTTTCCATGCCTTCCTATAGCCTTTAAGGATAGTGCTAAAGGGCATGGGCTGTCAGCAGTTTCCTGATTGCCAGCATTTTGCCTTCTCCCTTTTTAAAAATCTATTTTACTTATTTATTTTCAGTTCATATTTGAGTATGCAAACATTGTTTGCAAGACATGATGTGATATTTTCAAGTCCCGAATAGTAAGGTGATGATGTTTCTAGCTCTCTTTTCACTAAAAGAACTATTGAATGTGTTTCAGTAAAATAAGTTTAATCGTCCTGGATAGGCATGAGGTAGAGGATGACAATTTTTTTGAATTTCAGTATTACAAACTGTCTCCAGAAGTGGTGGTATGCCTCTTAAGAAACTGAGAAAGATGAGAAATAGAAAGGTGTGAGATGGCTGGAGCCTTAACAAGATCTGGTTGACAGCCATATTCTTACAGCCCAGGTGTGAAATAATGATCAGAGACATCCTGGGTGACATTCCTTTAAGGTGGTGAGACCTCACCTGGAGTCCTGCATCCGGTTGTGGAGTCCTCAGTACAGGAGAGAAGTGGACCTGTTGGAGTGCGTCCAGAGAAGGGCGACAGAAATGATCCAAGTGATGGGACAACTCTCCTATAAAGACAGGCTGAAAGAGCTGGGGCCGTTCAGCCTGGAGAAGGATTTGAGGTGACTTGATATTGGCCTATCAATATCTAAAAGAGAGCTGTAAAAAGGAAGGAGACGGACTTCTTAGCTGGGTCTGTTGTGACAGGACAAGGAGAAATGGTTTCAAACTAAAAGAATTTGATTTTAAGAGATTTGGATTAGATTGGAGATTAGACAGTGTATAAGAAAAATGTTTTTTACAGTAAGGGTAATGAAGAACTGGCACAGATTGCACAGAGAGGTAGTGGATGCCCTGTCCCTCAAGACGTTCAAGGTCAGGCTGGATTGGGCTCTGAGCAAGTTGATCTAGATGTAGGTGTTCCTGTTCATTGCAGGGGAGTTGGACTAGATGACCTGTAAGGGTTCATTCCAAATCAGATGATTATTGGATTCTATGACATGCAGTATGCAACTTGTGTCAAAAATTAATCCTTTATCTTTGTGTTCATACTTGTGAAACCACAACAGGCATTTTATGAAACAGGATTTTTCATTAAAATGAGTATTAGAAATGAATTTTTACAAATTCAGAATGCTACAGTATCCACAAGGCTTTTGAAATACATGTTGTTTTTAAAATAAGAAAAGTACTGGCTTCAGATTAATGCTCTAGTTCATTATACCTTAGAACATAAGAGACTTAAATCTACAATAGCAGGCATATAATAGATAAAGTGAAAAGTAAAATGATGTACCCATTTGATATGTTAAATCTAAGTAGTTGACTCTATGCCTGTTTTAGTTTATATATAAAATTCAGGTCTGGAAATTTTCAGTGGAGGCAACGGTAACTACACAGAAATATTAGTGAAATAAAATGATTTCTAAAATTTCATGTTGTTATTTTTTAAAATTTATTTCAGATGACATGGCAGAACTTCTTCTTGGAGAGTCCAAACTGGAACAGTTTTTGAAGGAAAATGCTCTTAAGCAGAGCAGTAGTCCACGGGGCCCCCGGCCAAAGCTAACTGAGGTCAGGAAGCATCTAACAGCAGCACTTGATAGAGGAAACCTAAAGGTAAGTTGGTCAGAACTTGAAATTGACTGGGTTATGTTGCTGAGTATAGAGAAAAACATAGAAAATTCTAGTTTCTTGTTTTATTGTTACTCCCATCATTGGTGCTGTGCTATTTTGTGTCTCTTTCTTTCTTCATGGATCTTTGTTCACGTAAGTTCTTTGCCTTCTTTCATGAGAAGAACAGGAAAATTCTCAATGACTTCTTGAAGGCTTACATGAAGAACTTGCAGATTGTTTTGTGGAAGTTTTACCTGGAGTGCATAACTAAATCATTCTTTGCAGTAATTTAAATGTTATAAATATGAAATATTTCACTAATTTCTTTAATAGTGTCTCATAAGTACTCAGGAAAGATTTCTTAAGTTATGTTTGTGGAGAAAAGTAAAGTTAATACTTGAGAGGAATAATTATGCCACTTTTTAAAAAATATTCTTAGCATGTCAATTATTGCTGTAACTACTCTATCGCTTGGCATTTCTGTATTCATGGCTATCTCTTGAGAGATGAGAACCTTGCTTTACAGTCATCTCTAACTTCCTATTTTGTGTTTTCTGTGATGCCTGGGAGAGTTATTTTCTTTTCCTTTTTTCTTCCATTCTTCCCTGAATCCTTTTCTGAATACCTTCCTTCTACCTTGGCACTCTGGGACTGTGCAAATTATGTTAATATGTGGGCTGTAGAGCACACTTTAAGTTTTGACACTATGTTGTGCTTATGATGCTGAAACCATTGGAGAGGTTGTAATGATAAAGTTCTTTTAAATAGTTTTGTTACCTGGCAAAGCTGGAACTTACCAGAGAGGTATTTCTCTTGCACATGTGAGTAAGTATATGACTATGTAAAATGTCTGATAATGCTTTTAAGTAGCTTGATGGAGTATTACTAAATGACTTCAACCTCTGCTTCAAGATTCCCTAATATTACATGGAGTTAGAATTCTGGTGGGATTTTGCTCTCTTGAGGAAAAATCTACTTGAGGCTTTCACAGTGAATATATGCCGAAAACAGGCCAAATAACTGTCAGAAATAATTAGATGTGCTTGGATCGGGAATAAAAACTTTCTTATTCCTATTGCTTCTAGCCAGAATTCTTACAAGAGGCTAACCTACTTATGGCCAAATTGAACTATGTGGAAGGGGACTACAAGGAAGCTCTGAACACATATGCCAGAGTTGGAGTTGATGATTTGCAGCTAGCTGCTGTGCCACCATATAGGTTACGGATGATTGCTGAAGCATACTCTACTAAAGGTGAGATTACTCTTTCCAATACAATAAAGTGGAACAAGTATTTAAGAAGTTAATCTGTATCTTGTCCAAAGTTAAAGAAATTACTAGCGTATGTATCATTAACACAGTGGTTGAGTGCTGTATTTGCAGATGAGTAAGAGAATAGTTTAGCTCCTTTAATCTGATCAGAGTTTGTCTAGGTTGACAAGACTCTCACCTCTATGAAGATTTCCATTTTAACTGCTGTCACCCCATCAATTTTTTAGATGTGCATTTCAAAGTCCTTGAATATCTGAATGCCAAAATAACTGTAACAATAAACTAGAATTATTGTCACTGTTCCTGAAAATTAAGGGTTAAAAAAGTGATGCAGTTTTGCAATTGTTATGGTCAGAATTGAAGAACCTTGATTCACAATGCTTTTTAGGTGAATGTTGGAATTTTTAGGTTACAGTAAGCTAATTCATAAAATTAGTCATAACATGATAAAAGGACTTAAAACAATTTTTGTTCTGCAGTTTAACTCTAGAAACTTTGAGGATTGAATATATTTAAAAATAATTCAAAAAGTGAAGTTTATTTTTTCCTTTTTGAAGAATCCAGGATAATGAAAATTGTAATGCTGCTCTGATGTCTGAAGGTGGCAGTACCTCTTCAGTTTAGAAAACTCGTTGGAGGGCTGTGAGTTCAGTGCTTAGAGGAAAGTGGCAGTTTGTGCACCGTGGGTTTATGAGAATTTTCTGTGTCTAAATGTTTGCCTTGGTCTGCCATGTTTAATTGGGTTTCATAAGTGCATATACTTTTTGTTACGGTGGATGGAGTGTCAGAGTCAACAAATAAATTAGGAGAGGCTTCAGTAGCATTCACTGTTAAATGGTTAAGGTTTGATTCTAACACCCTTGGAAGGCATTGACTGTTTTCACTGAGAGTGGAAAGGAAAGAGTATGGGGATTTTTTACATGTGTTGTAAGCCTGCCCATCTGCAAGGATTTGTGTTGGATTTGTCACGTTTTTCTTATGAAAATTTCTTTCGTTTGATTAACTTCATGCACATAAATTTGCTTGTATTTCCAAAGAATTCAATGCAAATAATTTAACAAAGTTTTTTTTCCCAGGGTTCAACTCTTTTGGCTCTGTTTTATTTAATTTCATGAAAATTTAGAACGATTGAAGCAATTTTGCCGAAAGGAAGGGTATTATACAATTTATTTGATGAAAAATTAATTTATTAGAAAATAGTAAGAGTGGTTTATTGCCTTAATTTCTTCTCTACACTGGAATGTTTTTCTTGGTTCATCTTTTAAGGAAAGAAAAGGAGGAAGAAAAGCATGCCTGCTGCCTAGATATGCTTTTTATTTTACTGCTTCTGATTTCAAGTTTTCTACTTAAACACTGCAGTCTGTGATATCAAGCATGATCTAATCTTGATCAGACTTCATTAGTTTGGTCCTTTATACTAGGTGCCTGGTTACCAGCTTACCTGGGCAAACCTGGTGACTATTGCTTTTCTGTTGTTCTGTTCATGTCTAGAAGTGCTGCTTTTTTTTTTCTTTTTTGTTTCCAGTTTGAATGGATGATTAATGAAACATAATATCCTTCCAAACAGGTTGTAAGTCATTTCCTGTGTGTTCTAGAATAAGATTGAAGTCGCAGAGCAGTCTTAAATTCCGTATTCAATATCTAGAAATACTTAGAGTAATTAATAGCTAAATAGTGTACATAATTAGCAGTAGTATGGTTAATTTTCCTCTTCTTTTCTTCCTCCCCTGAAACTTCATTTTTCTCCTTGTAAGACTGGACTGTAAAAAATTTCAGTCTGAAGAACCTCTTCAGAGGTTACTGGAGGTTTGTAGTTACTTCACAATTAAATACAAATTATTCTTGTGGGGACTTTGTGCTTCACTGCAATTTGTATTTGTGTTTGCAGGTTTAAGGATAACCTGGATATGCAAAGAGAAAAAGTTCTCTAAGCTTTTAGTTTTTATTTCTGTGGCAGTCATGGACCGATTCTTGTTATTTCCAAGAAGTAGGGAATTGCTCATGTGCACACATCAGCCTGACTGCACTGCTCAGTGCAGCGGCCTGTAGACTGGCAGTACCAAAGCCTGCTTCAGTTGCCTCATGTTAATCCACCTGTGGGCAAACCCAGCACATCTGGATGTGCGGCCAGCAGGAGATATGTATCCTATTTTATAGTGGTCTGCATATGACTGAAAACTGACGGTAGTTTTTAATTGCCCTATTAACAATTTTTTTCTTACTTTTAGATAGGACCACCACAAATGCTTGTCTTCTTGCTCTGATCTTTCCTCTCTGTAACAGAGGTGACCGGTTGAGTGAGGTGCCTGAGCAGAAATGTTGTTTATTCTTCTGCAACTTTGACAAGGTGCTTAAGTGAGAATGTAACTCTGTAACCCTAGACAGTTTAGTCTCCTGACTTGCTTTGCACCTGTGCAATCTTACCCTTGCTCTGTACATATGAAGTATGTTTTTCAATTCTTCACAGCAAAGGATGATTCAGTGTATGTGTATGAATGAAATGAAGTGCAAAAACAAGCCCGAGGTCAAATTCAAGATGAGTTTTGTTAGAGCTTTATCTACAGGTCCCTGGAAAGAAGGGGAAGAGGAAGAACTGTAGTGCTGTTTGTGGGGAGAGGAACAGAATTGGAACATGGCAGGAGAAGTGAGGTCTCTAAGAGCTTGCTGAACTGTGGAGTGTATGTATTCATGTGTGTTTGTATACACAGATATTTGAGGGGTTACACGGTGCATAAATGTGCATATATTTGTTTCTTCTGTCAGAAAGTAAGATATGGGAAAAAAATATTGGAAGAGTTCTTACTGCCACTTCAGTCTCTCCAAAGTAAGTGTGTCTGAATGTATTATCCGTAAAAGTTGTTTGATTGTTTCCTTGTTTGTTTTGCAAACCTCATGGAAAAATGTTCATTAAATTACAATATTTTTCATTGGCAAATTCTGGATCTTTGTCCAGAATATGAAATTTATTGTCTCTGCATGCCTGCAGTCTTCAACTTGAATTAATTCTGTCGTTAAGCACAATTTAGTTCTTCAGAAGCAGTCTGCTGGCTGTGATGCATTCATAAAGGTTTCCTCAAAACTTTTATTACAAAAGTGAATTACATATGCATAAATATTCATTAAAGAATGCCTTTAAGTCTCAGTGCTATATTTAGTTTTAGCAGAAGACATTGTATTTAGTAGGAATATAAGCAAGAGGCATAATACTGAGAAAGCCAGAAAAGGCGTTCCAATCCAGCAAGGAAGATTAAAATATTGTTATTCTTTTCTTGACAATGTCTAAGTAGTGATATACTGTTTCACAGCTTCCAGAGAAACCATCTCATTAGATTTCTCAAAATCAGTGTAAGATTTCAACAAAATTATGAGAAAAATCCTATTGAATGACCTTTGAAATCTTTTCTGTTTTCCATAGTGTTGGGTTCTTTCCAACCCTGCACCATGCAGTTTCATGAACTTGTGAACGAGAGGCCTCAGTGCACAAGTGATGTTGCAAAGTGCCTGGCTTTCACTTCTACAAGGGAAAATGCTCAGAATTGCTAGTGTGGTGATGAAGTAAATCTTGACTAGAGGAAAGATGGAAGAGGGATCTGATGAGAAGTTATCTGTTTTTGTGTCTGTTAAAACAGCACTGAGTGTACTAGCCAAGTGAGTATAGCAAAGCTTTAGAAACCTGATTAGTATAGGTCAGGATTCAGGTCTGCACTCTGTATGTATGTGTATCAGGTGTTGTATTGGAATAGCTGCAGTATCAAAACTATGACTTTATTAAGACATGATTTGCTTAGATTCAGTGACTGACTTAAAGTCACCAGGGGGGCCATTTTTGAGTGTTGTATAAAAGATAGGAATGAAAAGATGGAGCTTTCCAAACCTCTGTTACAGGAGTTTAATTTTGTCTCTTCATTATCATTTGTTTACTTTCTTCACTAGATCAATTTAATTGGCAGTAGTACATTTTGAGACAGAGGAAAATCTTAACATATAAAGAATTAAAATAAGAGAAACTTTGAATCCATAAAGAAGAAACTGAAGATTGTATAGGTGTGTCCTTTTTCATCTTGCTTTTTTAGGTTAGGTTGTGTATCTAACTCCAGCTTTCCCTACCATGCTTTCCTTAAAAGATGAACCAGAAGAAAATTGGTGTAACTCTGTTATCACACGTAAGCACATATTTTTAGAATCCATTTCATTAATGACTGAAGCTAATATTCTCCTAGGGATCTCCTATGGTCTCTGGGATCAGGACAATTAAGTTTGTGCAAGTTTTCAGCAGTGTATGAATGAGGTAACATACTGGAAAGAGCACATAGGCTTTATTCAAATACTGTGTGTGGCAATTTCTTCTGTGTTTCTAAGCAATTTTTTTTTGCTTACGGAAGCAGGGATGAGATGCCTGCATAGTGGGATATTGTGTTACTTTGGGGAGGTGCAGCTTGTCAGTGGCTCTCAAATAAAAAGTATATGTTTATCTGGGAAATCAGCTTATTGAAGTCTTAGGTAACATGATTCTTGTGCTGCTAAGTAAAGATGGCTGAAAAATGAATTTACAGTACTTGGTTTTGCATGTCAGTGAATCTTTCTACAGATGCTCAAAGACAAACATAGCAATTTATGAGTGATGCTTCTTCCAGTTTTCAACTCTGCAAACTTTTGATTTTAGTTAAGAAATGGTGTTCATATTTACTATATTGTCATAGAATAGTAGGGTACTACAGGTATTCTACAGTACAGTACAGGTCAGTACTGCAGTACAGACAAGAGAGTTGTGTTACATTACAGCTACGTTCTTGTTAAGTGTGTGAGAGATGTTATACAAGTTAGAATGTGACATTATGGGATTGTAGCCCTATTGCTGCTTATATTTGTATATATGTGTTTATATTTAGATGATGTGTGTTGAGTAAGGTGAGGCTGTCTTTACTGCTGCTGACCCATATTCAAATTTAATGTTGCATTTACCAAGTTTGGCTGGCTATTAA